ACTGCATCATGCAGTGCTGTCTCCACAGCAATCAGTGACGCATGCTGCTCTTTGGGCATGAGGGACCACAGCGCAGAGTGAAAGGACTCTGATGCATTCTGCGTCTTTGCTCCCAGGCAGCGTTGCAGAAGAGAAGCCTGTGAGAGCCTCTCATAAATGGGTAGAAGTGCATCTGCAACATAGCGTGGCAGCTTGTACGAATTCTTCGGAGGTGGAACACCGGTAATCTCGCTGGCATTGTGACGACACCAGGAGTCTGCTGCACCCTCTGGGCACAAGTCGTGGTGCGGCTCCTCATCCGTCGACGTCACATGGTGGTACGATGCCATCACTGCCCCCCCGCATTGCAGCCACATCATCGGAATTGTTCCGTAGGGCCCAGCCATAATAATCTGTCAACTTGTCGATGAGGGCCTTTGTCAGCCTGCCCTTCCCTCCCAAAGCCTTGTCACTTTTCTGCACAAGGTTGCGAAGTGCAGTCCCCATCCTCTTCTGAACGTGGTTCAGGCATTCCTCTTTTGAAATGGGGACCAGTCCATAAACATTTTCTTGTACAAGGGCAGAGAAGGTGGCACTATCTCCATCAGACACAAGCGTTGTGTAACGGAGGTTGTGCTTTGACAGTGAGCGTGAAAAGAGAATGATAGCTGCCTCAACCTCCATTCTCCCTGATTTAGAGTCGGTGTTTTTCTGGCACACATGATTCTCCAGCCAGCATGCATAGTCTGCGTCTCCAGGCTTTGGCCCTACTTGGCAACCAAGGCACTGATTAGACAGAACAACGGGCGTCCAAGATAAGGCCCGTATGGTATTCGATAATTGCCCCGACTCCAATATGGGATGTGTGCCCACGCTTGTGCCATGTTCTATCATAACAAACTGTTATATCCCTGGTGAAATATTGATCCATTTCTTTGTAAGTGGCTTTTACAGCAGAAGCAGATTCTGCATAGAAATTTTCTATGCATTGTGTCTGCGGTTCCCTGAATTTCTTCAGGTGCTTCTGAAAGGTCTTGTGATGGAGGCCACGATGGGACACGTTCATCGCTGCCCAAAAGTCGTTGAGAGCTGTTTGTCCCTTGCCTATTTGTTTTGTTGCCATAATGGCTCTTACATTCACATCAAAGGCCTTTGTGTCATCCTGACGAGATGAACTCCATGAGCTTGAAACTACTCCACAATGCAAGCATACTAGCTCAAGCTTTGCAGCAAGTCCAAGATGGGTGGCTCCTCGTACCTTCATCCCAATCGCGGTGCACCGGTGGCACGGGGTCAGAGATAGCAGGTCGCCTAGGGCATCCATTTGCACAAGGAAAAATTTTTCGCCTTCACTTGTAGCGGTGGCAGCTTCATGATCGCGCTCCATTGCCTGAAATTTCCGCTCCGTCGCTGGCATAGCGCCAAGTTCTCTTTGCACAGCAGCGCGTTGTTGATCCGCCGCCTCTTTCTTCTCGCACGTCAGGAAACTTGTTCGCAAATGCACAGTTGACGACGCGATCGCACTCGAGGCCGATGAAAGAGAAGATGCGGAAGCCACTGTCGATGAGCACGAGACACCAGGCGCACTTGTAACGACAAATTCTTGCACCAGCGGAGCAGCAGTCCCGTTGCTAGGCGCGTCGATGCGACCACTCTCTTGCGTAGATAAAGCAGAAGCTGCCCTACAGGTACCGTCGGCACGATCACCGTTGGCGCACGTGCGAGCGAAGAGCCTCGCCGCGCGGACAAGCTTCATAGCTCGCTTCCTTGCACCGAACGATTGTAGCGTCTTCTTTTTCGTTGGGCGCATCGTGAGCGAACACAACAACGGTCTCGTAAAGACGGTTGAAAATCTTTTCGAAGACAGTTGAAACGTGGAGAGTATGTGAACGGCTGCAACGATACACGGAGCGAGCGGAACAAGGCAGCAGACCGAGCGGCCGCATCGGCCGCATTATGCGCAAGAGCGCTACGTCATCGCGCGCAGCAGCCAGTGGCAGTCGCGGGCTCCCCCGCGTCCTTGGGGAGCGCGCGCTTCGCCCAATCCCAGCTGCGCGCCTCAGCCGCGGGAAACTTGAAGGCTCACGCGAGCCCTCCAATCATGAGCGGCTTGCTCCTCTCCTGCGCTGCCGCCGGCGACGCAGGTGGCGGGAAAAGAAAGAGCAAGAATTCACAAACAAAACAACACCAAAATGGTGGCGCTCTGTCGAGCGGTCGAGAAACTGCGATCACGCCAAGTTGGGGTATTTTGAGCGCTCGAGGGCCGCTGCGGCATGTTCTAAACTTTATTTCAAATGGTTTCGCGACAAATTAGACGTTGATATTTACAGAAAAGGTAGTTTATGACACATACTGCCCGAATATGTGGTTTGCCAAAAATCGACTTTGTCGCGATTTTTCGGTTTTCAAAGGCCGCGTCCCCCCTTAAGTAGAGACGCTGGTCTTGAAATGAAATGCCTTATTATTTGAGATACTGTAATGAAATTGGGTGTGTATATGTATTACTTTCTCCTATTTTCAAAAATATATTTAGTTTTAATGTAGACCTACTAGTTATCACACTGAGAGCATAAGTGAAGTCTAATTGGGTGATTTCTTATGGGTCGTTAAGGCCCTTTCCCTGAATATTTTTAGGTTCTGTTTAGGATGCGGCTGTAGCCAGAGACCTTCCATGTGGAGCTATGCTATTTATATTGTAACTGAGCTACATCATCTAAAAATTCTCGTTTGCATCAATGCTCCGCAATTTTGAAATTTATTTAGCTCGGATTATTCTTCATATAACATTTCATATGTCCCTCTTAGCTGCAAAAGAATAGGCTAGCTCCGCAGTCTTGTTTCACAAGAACATGGTGAGAAGTTCCGTAACGCTGGTCAGGTTGGCAAAAAATGTGAAGCTGAGATTGACATGTACTGCAAAATTTTCTATAAGTAACTTTTGCCACAAATTTTATACACATGTTCTCCATGTGTTCTCCTGCAAAAAAAAACTAAAAAAACAAGATGTGCTTTATTTCGCCCTTGGAATCATTCCTAAAAGCTTTATCCAATGTGGAAAGCATTATCAGATTCTCATCATGATAAGCTGTTGAGAGGTTCTGGAAAAGCTGTGGGGTATGCAGCTCAAAAGACTAGCTGTTAGGCAGCATGCTGCCCGAAGTTAGAAGTTGCTGTGTTCTGGGCCCTCAAGGGACCATGAAAATGTCCGGAAAATTGGTTATTTGTCCAGAATAACGAATGTCCACAAAAGTGCCCCTTTTTATACGTATTTTTTTGCTGACACAAAGGGTCACAGCTGTAGTACTAAATTCTCGCGATCTTGTAAATCCGTGGTGTAGATATAAAAAAAAAACGATGTGGCCGGTGCCACCTCAGTAGTCAACAAGTTGGCCCAAAAAAGTATCTATTTTTCTTTTGCGCGGCATTCTGCTTGCCCGCGATAATGTCGGCCTCAATTTCAGCTATACGTAATGCTGTCGCTGTTCGCCGATGACTGTCATCAGTGCTCGCGTCAACTCCAATCTTGTTGGCTGTACAGGCGTTGCCGAAAATCGGAAGACTCCAAGGAGGTCGAACTTTCGGGTAGCGACTTTCCCGACAAAACGGTCTTCATTTGCATCGATTTCTCAACTCGCTGCGCTTGCTTCGCCGTTGAGTAGTACGCAGCATCAATCCGAAGTGCATTGCTCGTCGAACTTGGTCCTACGGCGTTCTCAGTAGACGGCGTCGTTAAAGTTTCTGGCGGATCCAGGGGGTCCGGTCGCGACTGCAACTAGCTGCCGAGGGGCACTTGTGGCCGGCGCCATCTTGTTCCAAGGCAGCTTTTTACGGCTTCCGAAAGCTCGTCGCGTCGATGGTTTCAGACGAGAATCTCCAGGCATCTCGATCGCGGTGAAAAAGTACCGGCGCAAAGCGCAAACACAGTGCGCCGAGAAACACACACGATCGCAAGAGCAGACTTACACAAACGGACAGCCACAGTGGCGAACACAACACAAAGGAAAAAAAAAATTGATGACGCATCGGTCATCCCAGCCAATGAGACTCGAAGATACCAGAAAGCAGACAGGTCTTTGGGACTGAAAAATGACAAAAATTCTTTTTTTTTTAATTGACCTAGTATTTGGTTTCTGCAAGTATTTTTCTATTTCTCTGCAAATTTTCACACACCAGGAAGTGGTAATTTTTTTGTAATTTCATTCTAACTATTCCAGATTCTTGGTGCTGATAACATGCAGAACCTGCAAAAAAAAATGTGGAACTGACTTCGAGGCTTCTTTATTATTTGCCGGCACCTGTGTTAGAAGCTCTGCTGCGAATTTATGAGCACCTTCATGAAGATTGCAAAATATGCACACCTTGATTGTTGCTTTTTGAAGCTGTGTTTTCAGTTGTTTTTTTTTTCATTTTTCTCAAAAGTAGTGAGTTTACGAACAGGTCAATTGAGAGGCCTCAATATATTTCTGCAGCTAGGGCTGGTACGTTTTTTTTTTTTTTTTTTTGCAATGGAAACCTGTATGTGTGTAAGCAAGTATGGGAGCAGAATTTAGAGCCCAAGCCTTTTTAAATAATTACTCATCAAAATTGTAACACAATTCCAAGTGCTTTTGAAAATGGATAGTTCATTTTGCTGTAAAGTAACCAAGAAAGGCCTAAAAACGAACTCTTGCATACTTTCAATCTATAGTCCTTAGTCTACCTTGGCATATCTTGATTATCACTTTAATTGAAGCACTTTTTTTCTATGGCGGCCTTAAACAATAGGAGGTGTAACTATCTCATGAATAAGATGAGTTACAGGAAATATAATTAAATATTTGAATTCAGCAGAAAAAACTGCATGATCCTGTGCAGTTTGATCAAGATCACTGAAGAAATAAACAATGTCTGAGACCAGTCTGCCGCCTTAAAGGGATGGTCAACCCTATTTTTACGGTGGTGCATTTTTTGTTTCTTTGTTGCATTGAAGTTGAATTGCTGTGCAGACTCGTCAGCTGTGTTCACGATTGCGTTCTTTTCAGGAGAAGCATGCCGAGGAGGTGCGCCAGAACAAGAACCAGACCGCCGAGTCTCCCACTCGGGAAGGTGCCGTCGAGACCGCTGTGTCTGGCTAGATCCCCAAAGGCTACGTTTAGTTGCAACCTAGTTTCTCACCGTTCATTTTTCGTTTTCCCGTTAAGTTAAGTTACAGGTTGTAGTTTATTCTAGCGAGGTCTCGTATCACCATATACGCGTAAGCGAACGCTTCAAAACCAATTACTTTGGCCTCTCTCACCACGGGCGTTCTGTCCTTCCCGTGCATTTTCGTTGATTGCGTTTTTTTTTTAACTCTGGTTGTGCCTACATGCAAGCATTTTAGATAATTGCTGCACAGTCCAGGCTCAGACTTGCCCAGGCTTGTTGTCACTGCCTTACCTGTGTTTATTGTCGCCTCGTTTATACAGCAAGCGTCGCGTATATACGCCCAAGATATACTCGTAATGTTATATATCCTTACTTATGCAGTCATTCCTTTTTTATTCGTTTGTTTTGCTATTCCCAGAGCACAAAGTTGAAAGTAGGAACTTTCAAAGGAAATGGCGTGCATTTCTTTTTAATGTCAAGCATTTTTTTTATGACTTTCTTGTCGTTCGTCGAGAAGTGGCGATTGCTGGTGCAGTTTTAACGATTGCCAGGCTTGTAAAAGGCACTGCTGTGCGTATGTGTAAGATGAGCGTGTTTCCAAGCTTGAATCCGAGCTTTCTTCAAGATAGCCTCAGGTATGTTTTGTCACGCAGGGTGTGTATAGAACAAAAAAGGCAAGCAGTGTTTGCATCACGTTTTGCAAGCTTTGTAACCGGACTTCAGTCCGTTGCTTTGAGCCTTGCACTGATTTCAGCGTATCTCCCATCACTATCTGCGACAGCCTCGTGTGCCATATACTATCTCGTAGCCTGCCTTGTTGCCTTAAGTACCTGTGAACTGGACCAAGCATGCTTTCTCGGCAGGGTCTCAGCCGGCGCATTTTCGCGAAAGACACTATGCCTTTTTAAGTTCCAGTCACTTCCATGAGTTTGCTACACATTCTGCTCGTCGTCAAAGCTGTGAAGAATTGAACGTGATTGGAAAAGCAAGCCCCTTTCAGAGATATTCTGACCAGGTTATCCAGACGTAGTAGTGTGTGCAAGTATGAAAAACTGGTGCATGTAGATGTAAACATATATATAGTGTAGCATTCATCTCTCAAGTTAACTTCACCAAAGAATGTACCACTATTTGACTAATGTAAAATATACTTTTTATTAGCCGTATATCCAAGGAGTCTTGAGGGTGCCTCCCATATCTTTATGGGGCAGCTGTATTTTTCTGGCTCGCCTTTATGACAGAGCTTGCGAATTTACGTAAACTTCTAGCAGATCTAAGGTATTGGAGCGATATTTGCTCAGGTTGTCTTGGTGAAACAACTTGGACTCTGCTTAACTGTCTCATAACTATTTAGTAGATGTTCAGGTGCTGAGTCGACCGTCGACCCTTCTCGGGCTGTCGCGCTGGCAATGTTGTAAAAGTGCGACTGTCCTGTGTCGGTAACTGCGAGGAAACCAAGCAGGTAGAACAACTTTTCCAAAGTGGATGCCGTGTGTGGTCATTTTTACGGAGGCTGTAAAAAAAAAAAAACTGCCTTGTGATAACTGGTGTTTCCCAACAAACGGTGGTGTTTGTCCCTTCGTGTGTAAACTGTTGTAGCTGTTGTATCTATCCCTCAATGAACATTTGCTTATCCCTTCGTTTTCCATTTGAATTTCGTTCTGTACACAGCAACGCCCTGTATCTGAAGGTCTGTAAATGTCACATGCATCTTTCTCCTCCCTTCACCCGTGTGTGTATTCCTGCCCTGTGAAGTCAAATAGTCATTTTTTTTTTCCTCACTGTCCTCGCGACTTGGCACTTGTGTATTACTTTTGCGAGTTATCAATAAACTGATGAGTTCGACCTTCTGTGTCCAGTGTACTTATTCTTGACCACAGATGCCATACTGTCCACTTCGCACGAAAGTGACTGTCGGCGGAACCGTGAACGCGAACGATGTCGCGAAATTATGGAATAACCAGCCTGATGTTGTGTTACAGATCGTCGAAATATGACGTCATAACATTACGTCGCATGGTCAAATCTGGTAAGATTTCGTGAGGTAGTGCAAAACCACGTTGCAAGTTTTAGGGGAGGGGGGTACATTGACTGAAATCGTGGCGTTCACCTTTTGCTGGGCTTCGACGAATGTGTGAGGCACCTTGTGGGTATCACACTGTGCACTTTCTGTGATTTACACGGCTTTTTTTTATGTATTCCGAAAGCTCAACCAGTATGTTGTGGCTTCATTAACATCAGTCAAATGATAGCCTGAAAGAGCTCTATTCGCTGAAATTCTGGCGGCGTCGTGAGCGAAAAATTGAGAACAATACGAATTAAATGGTAAAAGAATCCTGGTTCAGGGTGGGTACCGAACCAGGGTCGCTTGGTCAGAGTGAGGATCGAAGCCGGGTCATTTGCAAGGCAAGCGGATGTTCTGCCACATGCATCTGCTTGTGTAGAACTTTTTCTGCTTGGAAATGCAGTGAAAGTAGCTTTCATGTTTTACAAGCACACCCGTCCTGTATGCATGCTTCACAATGTAACATAAAATATTGCAGCAATAATGGGTGGTACAAGCGCTCATTGCCAGCGGAAGTCGGAACATGCGATTATCAAAAGGCACACACGCTGCTGCGCCGTTTCCTTAAGGTCACGTAATGGGTTCATGGTACGTTCGAAAAGGTTTCATGCACTCTGTGTTTGAAGTACGCACTAGGAACCGTTTTAGCCAGTCGCCGCCTGGCGGCGTTCAACTCCTGAAAACGAAGCTTCCGGTCCCCCCCCCCCCCCTTTTTTTTTTTATTTTTAATGCGTGGCTACCTTTTAGTGTGTTCGCGTACATGTGGCCCCTTTCCGCGTTAATTGCAGCCCACGATGCTCATATCAGCCAATGGGCGTGGACTTTGTGGGTTCATCGCAACATCTTGTTGGGAGAAGAGTGAACGACTTTTCACTGACTTTGAGAATTGTAAATTCCAGGCCACGGGCGGCGCTATGTTCGAATCGCGTGTCCTCGGCGACACCCAAGAGAAACAATTGTTCACACATGTACTTCGAGAAATCAAACGTCGGTTAATTTTGCCAAAACAAATGTTTCATTTTTAAATTTCGCGCGAAATCTTCATGGTTGGCGTCACAGCTTTCAAAGTGTATCTGTCGTATTACGGCGACACTGGTTGAACGACATCTCATCTCGAGCCTATGGCTACTCAGATAACAATGTTCATCCTTACCAATTAGCAACTACGTTAATAGCATACGCCATCAAAATATACAAGATCACGGCATGTGGTGCGGATATTTCAAGATGGCGCCATCACCCCTTTTCGCGCGTTTTTTTTTTTCGCTAACCAAGCGCCATCTCGCGGCAAGCGTGGTGATCTTGGAATTTTGAAAGAGCAAATATTGATGTTAAAAATTGTTCTCTTTATGTCCCGCTAAACTGCAAAGTAGTTTTAATATGCTGCACTGCAGATAGTTTTCGAACAACCCCTAAGACCAAAAGATAATTTTTGACGCAAGATAGTTTTACAGTAGGTTTCATAGCTATGACGTGTGTCCCCAAGACGATAGCGTTAGACGCATACGCTGGGACTACAAACGTTGCAGTTGGCGTGCCTACAGCCATTTGCTCGCAATCAAGCCTCGTTATGAGTATTTATAAGCATGACACAAATATAGAATAAATTACTTAGCGCAATAAATGAAGCCGATGAAAACATATATACATTTCTCAATAGGCGAGCCAAAAAAACAGCCTTCGGAAGAGCGACTTTTCGTGCGACTCTGTGACCGTCTTCTTGGCCATCTGCAAGAAGACGCACACGGACACGAGTGTGGCACCCGTGAAGCTGTACTTGTCGGGAATGTTGCCGAACAGTATGAGTTCCACGGCGAACATGAACACCACGTCCATGGCGGCGATCACCACCGACACGGGTCCGGCGTTCTCCATCTGGAGCGCCTTGATGAGCACCAGCTGTTCCAGGAAGCTGAGCACCGTGAAGGACGCGAAGATGACGCGTCCCAGACCGCAGCGGGGCAGCACGTACGGCTCGGTCGGCGACAGCAGGACGCATTCAGGCGACCCCGACGAAGCCGTACATGAAGAGCGTCACCGAGTGGTGCTCGTGGCGCACCGTGCGGCTGATGAGGAACTTGGCGGCGCCGAATATGGTCGACAGGAGGGCGAACACGAGGCCCTTGTACTTGTCGACGTCCGGCTTGTCCTCCCGGGAACCCGAGGCCTGCATGAAGGGCAGGGGGATCTTGGCGGACATCATGAGGCCGGCCATGGTCAGGATCAGTATGAGGGTGTCCGCGACGCCGCACGGTTCGTTGAGGAAGACGCGGGCCAGCGCCGTCACGAAGACGGGAAGGCTGGCGAGGATCACGGCCACGTCGGACAGCGGGATCAGCTTCATCGACCAGAAGCGGAAGTAGAGGCCCGCTAGGCCCACCGTTGCCCGGAGGACCAGGTAGACCCTGCTGGAAGGATGGCCCATCGGATGGTGGCCGCTGTGGATGACCAAAGGCAAGGAGAAGACGAATATGCCGGCGAGTCGCATGGCCGTCAGCTGGAGGGTGGGCACGTCGTAGAGGATTTTGATGAGTACCGAGATGACGCCGACGAGGGCGCTGTTGAGCGTCGCGTAGAACATGCCCTGGAAGAAGTTGACGTTCTTCTCAAAGAGGCGCACGGCCGACTCCGTGGGCTGGGCACGCCTGCGGGACGGCGGTCGCGGCACCTCGGCGTGGTCCATCACGGGTTCCGTGAGGGCCGACCACGAGCTGTGAGACTCCGGAGGTCGGCGCCTGTGGAGGCTGCGGATGGCTCGTCGCAGGCTGAGCGTCTCGGAGTTCGGCTGAGGCTCCGCCATTTTTGTTCTACCGGTCGGCTTCACCGGAGACAGGTGGCCGTCCCTGTCGAGTCGGGATGCAGTCCCACGCTGTCCCGCGAGAAAAGACGAAACACGAAGTGATTAGGCCTGCAAGCATTTCGTAACCTGTTACAGCACCCCGATCATTGAGATGGAAAAAGTAAAAGGGCTTGTGTTATGAATGGTTTCGGTATCGATTACGAAACCTGATTTCTTGCCTCCCGAGAGCGCATTGCCCTTGCGTACAAACCATCGTCAATAAATTTGGTCATATGCTCGGCACTTGGCTGCGTCCATTTTGTATGCATCGGGTGCCGCCGTCCCAGCGTACTCGGGTACTTTGTTCTTTCGGTGTTCCAAGTGGCCGCGCCCACTTCACGCAGCACAGGTGAAATAATCCGAGATTTCTGAACAAACATTAAAACGTTTCTATTTGCTATTTTGAAGGTTAACTAAGCAATGTTTATAATTACCCGGCTTATCTGATTGAAAGTTACTCTTTGCCACGAGCATTTTACTCTCTTAACGAAAAATTTCGACGTTTCAAAACAACTGCTAGAACTTCGCTATCAGCATATTTCGCTATGGTTTTCTAATGAAACTGAAACAAGCAATTTGTTAATTACACAGCTGAGCAGATTAGAGAAAAATATCCCGTCCTGCTGCGTGCGGCTCGGAGCAGTTACGATTCGCTTCGTAATACCATGGTCCTTCAATACTTTTTTCTGGTCATGAAACTCCCGCGAAAGTTTCATATAGGGACACAAGTGGCCACCAGAGGCGCCACCGTAAACAGGAGGGCATCGATCGGCCGCGCTTGGCAGGGCTGTAGCGCGTTCGCGGAAGCGTTTCCCATCAAATACACTTCTTCAGATATTTTCCTTCTCCGTGTTATCGCTAACAAATCATAGCAGCTATTAGTATTGTCAAAGTGGTCCATGATGCGCGTTGTCAAATTGCCTAAGTCTTTGACTGCTGGCAATGTTTTAACTGAGTTCGTCTGTCAAGTGACGCGCATTCGTAGCGTTCCTAAATTTCTCGATTCCTGCATAGCCGCTTTTGGGGCTTAAACCGAACACTGTGACTGGTTCTAGATGACTGAAAGGTTAACATATTTTGCGCTAGAGATTGCGGAGCAGCCGTGCTCTGGCTGCACGTAACGTTCATTTTCGGAATAACTATCACTTTATTCCATATGGCATCACGAAGCAGCCAATAGAAGTTCGCGTGCCAATAAACAAATCTGTGTATCAGGGTGACTTGACATTAATAGCCTTGAAGTACCTCTTGAGGGATATCGTTAGTGAAACATAGCTGAAAAATTAAAAGCTCAGAATGAGACACCACAAGACAGAGAGGGATGCTCAAGTTGTGCTCTTTTCTTTTTTTTCTTTGATGTCATAATTAGCGCCCCTGATTTTAAAGATTAAAAAATGAGATGAAACTGTTGTGAGCTGCTAGATATAGGCACTACGTGCTATTTCGAAGCGAGAGCTTTTGTTTTTACGCATGCAGATTTGATAACGCAGCCGAGTTTTGATATACGCGGCTTTTTTTTTATCCATTCCCATGTACTCTCCCAATGACCACGACTTCTAAGTCCGCGTTCTAATTAGCCACCCTGTTCCTTCTACGCGCACATAGAAATCAACCAGGATCTTCCTTCAACCCAGTTATTCAGTTTAAACGAATCAGTTGTACATGAAACTGCATTGCTCTTTTTGAATATTTCTAGAGATTTTCTTTATGCACTTAGATATCTCTTTCAATCCAACTTGAGCTTTTTATGTGCGAGATATTTCTGCCTAACGAAAGCAAATCTGTGTGCCACTTACCTAGCAGGGGGTAACATTTTGAATTTGGCAACTACGCTACGCGGCAATCGTCGAGAATTCGAAACTGCCATGAGCACAGGCACATAGTTTATTCAAATCTGCGTTTCAAAACTGTGGATGAAAGTTGGGAGACGGAGTGGATGACACAACAAAAATCATTGAAAAAATTTATGTCCCTGGTTTCCTCCCTCCTTTGGCCGGGCAGGATAAACGACGTCCGCCAGCACGAAACAGTTTGTTCTGCTCACGCGTAAAAAAATGCAGACGGCACTTAATAAAAAAGTGCACAACTTCTGCCGTAGTGCTCACGAAATGTGAGCCACAGCCAACACTGGCCGAAGAAGTGCGGTCGTCCAGCAGGATGTTCTCAACAATGTTCATGTAAACACTGGCACAGGCTATTTTGTCCACCGTGCACATTTCCACATGTTCTTCCACAATTTGCAAGAGCCGCAGTAATTTCTCCGATGGCACTTGCAAAAATCCTCTTGTCTTGATTTGAGTCAATGCAGTTGGCTCTCGGGAGTTGCTTCTGAGTGTTTGGAGGCAGTCCTTGCAGCTTATTTTAGCAAACTTTTTTGCTACATACCCACCAAGGTAATCCAAAATACAGTCCCTCGTTGACTCGGGATGAATCATGTCTTGCATGCATTCAGCAGGCTCCAGCAGTATATCGTCAAAAAGAACTGCCAAGGTATCAATCTGAAACATATTTTGCGTTATCACAATGGCCAGAGTGAGAAATTTGTAAAGTAAAATATAAAAATGCAGAATAAAACTTCTAGGCGCTTAAGCAAAAAAAAAAAAAAAAAAAAAATTTTTTTTTTTTTTTTTTTTTTTTTGCTTAAGCAAGTGATCTTATCTTCTTTCTAATATATATATGTGTGTCGTAGTAGTAATAAATCAGTTGAAAGTCTGCGCTCGTCCTCGTCTCTTATGTTAGTTGTCTGAAGTTTTACGCGCCTAGAAGTTTTATATGGATTACCAACTAGCCCAATCCCACACTTTACTTAAGCAGAATAAAAGTCTGTTCTATATCATACGACCAGACGTGCATGTCATTAGCATCAAAAAGCTAGACGACATTCAGCACGTTTACGATGCACAAACACCCTACAAGCAGCATTGGTGGGTGCTATTCAAATGTTTACCTGATTAACAGTAGGCTCTTTATGTTGAAAGAGATCCTGCATTTTCAAGAGGAGACGCGGACCATCCCCTTCAACCGAGGCTCTCTGTGGAGGACGGATCAAGTTGTTCACCGAGAGCAACCGGTAAATGAACAAAAATTGCTGAACAGTTGGCTGTCCCCCTGCTCCAGCGACATGTCTTGCGATGCCAAAAAATCTCTGAAAAATATAAAAGTGTGAAGAAAACGTCTTCAACGAGCAAAAACGTTTAAATGTACCTCGAGGTGGTCTTGTCCAAAGTTGCCAACTAAAACATAGCGAAAGCCACAATTCAGCAGCTTTTCAACAAGCGTCACTGTGCTGTGCAAAGTCATTCTCAAAGCATTGCATGTTGGCTTGCTGAGAAAGAAGAGTTGCTTTTGCTTTGGTAAACTCTGGTTGTAAGTGTGCCACCTGTCAAGCCATTCGATGTTCTCCTTCAGCGTCTGAAAAACAATCTGATTTAAGTGGAACTTCAAAGGATGTGACAGTAGGTTTGAAATATTAGGGCTTACAGAAATGTGTTCCGCTTCATTGTACTGCACATCTTGTGGCCTTTTAGAATTGAAGCAGTCGAATAGACTATTCATTCGCCTCGCAAAATCCGAAGTTGCTTTGGAGCCACGAAGTTTCACACATTCTTCTCTACTGCGATAGAAGTCCATTGCTGAAGCAGTGCTTTCACTGAAGAGCTGAAATGTTTTAGAGAAGTTATATGGCAGAGTGTTGTATTCTGATGAAGCAACACCACTTTTTGTTACACATACTGATTAATGACTCATGCTAGAGCAGCTGTTATGTCTTACCTGGACAGCAAGTCTCACACTCAGTTTTTGGAAAGCGTTGGGGCTGATGTGAGCTTTCGTAAGCTTTGGCACAGCCCGAAGTCCAGCTTGCTGCTCCTCGTAGTCCAGCAGAGCTTCAAAGTGGGAATGCTGTACTTCTTTGTCACCAGGCAACTGTTACATTTATAAAAAGGCTGTGAGACAAAGTTAGCCAGAGCACTGTGATGACTTATCTTAAACTGTTTTACGCACCAGGAACTTTCCGGCCTTCAAAAGGTTATTCCTGATGCACTTGAAGATGTGCGGCGGGTCAATTATAGCCTGAATGACTTTGGAGGAGTCACATGGATGCTCAAACGATGTTGATACTCTTGTGACATCACCACTGACACCTAAAAGAAAGGCATTTCTATTATTAAAATCACTTACTAAATACCTTGAAAATAAATAATGACTGCAAATATTTACCCAAGGAGTTCAGTGCTGATCGGTTCGAAGTTGAGTTATCGCAAGTGACTGCCTCCACAATGACGCCGGCATTCGATAGGAGTACAATGCACTGCAGGATCAGTTTGGCAACAGTGGATCCTGGTGCAGCCCCGGACGTGCAAAACGCTCCGACAGTCTGCGACCAGCCACCAAGGAATGGTCGGAAAAGGAACACCAACACGTGGTCCCCATCTTTCACTTGGTCAGTCGGCTTCGTGTGCTCTGCTAAGTCCACCTTTCCAAGCAGTGCCATATCCGATTCCCTGACGTGAAGGCTCTTTCTCACGCTCATCTCATCAAACATGAGGACACCTAAAGAAAAAAAAATATTTCAGCTCTTTACCTAGAGTCCAGAAAAATCAAATGCAAAAGAAAAAAAAAGATAAAAACCTCGCCGTTCTCTCTTTGGAATCTTTTCCACTTTGTCTTTGAGGATGTCAAATAAATTTTCATCAAATCCGAAGCCGGCCTTCAGATTTTTCAGATAGGAGTAGAGTGTGCGAGGGTGTGGTAGAGGCAGAAAATTATTCTCGTGAAGAAATGTATAAACTGCTGTGGATTTGATTTTCAGCAGTAAACAATCGTAAAGCCATTCCTTTTTATACCTGCAATAAATAAAATGCAATTTTTGTGGTCACGATTCTGCTACAGCTCAAGCAAACAGCACCATCAAAGTAAAACAAAATATTGCGTTTTGTCCCACGGCTTCACTTAGTAGTTTC